CCCCCTCCTCTCCTCATCCCCTCTTCTCCCCTCTCCTCATCCCCTCCTCTCCCCCTCTCCTCATCCCCTCCTCTCCCCTTCTCCCTCACCCCCTCCTCTCCCCCTCCTCTCTCCTTCTCCTCATCCCCTCCTCTCCCCCTCTCCTCATCCCCTCCTCTCCCCCTCTCCTCATCCCCTCCTCTCCCCCTCCTCTCCTCATCCCCTCTCCTCATCCCCTCCTCTCCCCCTCTCCTCATCCCCTCCTCTCCCCTTCTCCTCACCCCCTCCTCTTCCCCTCCTCTCTCCTTCTCCTCTTCCCTCCTCTTCCCCTCTCCTCATCCCCTCCTCTCCCCCCTCCTCTCCTCATCCCCTCTTCTCCCCTCTCCTCATCCCCTCCTCTCCCCTTCTCCTCATCCCCTCCCCTCCCCTCCTCATCCCCTCCTCTTCCCCTCTCCTCATCCCCTCCTCTCCCCCTCTCCTCATCCCTCCTCTCCCCCTCTCCTCACCCCCTCCTCACCCCCTCCTCTTCCCCTCCTCTCTCCTTCTCCTCATCCCCTCCTCTCCCCCTCTCCTCATCCCCTCATCCCCTCTCCTCATTCCCTCCTCTCCCCCTCTCCTCATCCCCTCCTCTCCCCCTCCTCTCCTCATCCCCTCTTCTCCCCTCTCCTCATCCCCTCCTCTCCCCCTCTCCTCATCGCCCTCCTCTCCCCTTCTCCTCACCCCCTCCTCTCCCCCTCCTCTCCTCATCCCCTCTTCTCCCCTCTCCTCTTCCCCTCCTCTCTCCTTCTCCTCTTCCCCTCCTCTTCCCCTCTCCTCATCCCCTCCTCCCCCCTCTCCTCATCCCCTCCTCTCCCCCTCTCCTCATCCCCTCCTCTCCCCTCTCCTCACCCCCTCCTCATCCCCTCTCCTCACCCTCTCCTCACCCCTCCTCATCCCCTCCTCTCCCCTCTCCTCATCCTCTCCTCACCCCCCTCCTCATCCCCTCCTCATCCCCTCCTCCCCCTCTCCTCATCCCCCCTCTCCTCATCCCTCCTCTCCCCCTCTCCTCGTCCCCTCTCCTCACCCCCTCCTCACCCCCTCCTCTTCCCCTCCTCTTCCCCTCTCCTCATTTATTCTTTTCACATTATTCAGCATCAATGCAATCACTCTACGTCATATTTCCTTTCGAACATGCATGGGAGACACACTCAGTACGCTGGAAGTGATTATTCCAATTTTTTTGTAAGAATTTTAATTGTCGAAACAAAACAACAACTATATCGTCAGTTTTTCCTATTTTTCGTATTTTACATCGAGAACCATAATTATACGGTCACTATCATCCATTTTTGCCTTACTCCGTCTTCGCAGATCAGCACCTGCTATGTTTTTACCCCCATCTAAATGTGCCGTATACCACATTAAACATACCCACTATACTATACTGATTTCAAAGACTGTATGGCATATGGTAAATGAGTGTGAGAATGAATAGAACAACACCTAGTCGAGATGAAAGGCTCTATTTACAATTGGACATAAAATGTCAAGTCGGCTATCTACATCATCTATGTACACATTGCAAACTTATCATATTCATTTTTTTGAATAAATTAATATATCTTCTTTGTTTTAATTATAATGCTAACAACGAGCTGCTTAGAATGAATAAATAACCTAAAAGGTAAAACTCTAAAATGGGGAATTCTCGACCCGATTAATCGGGCACTGCATGAATGCAAGAAACTACGTACATGTTCATGCATTTGAAGACTCAATAACTATGTGGCAGCACATGCTCGTAAACTCCAACCGATATACGAATCTCCTCTCTTTAAGTTATACCCTGTTATAAATATTTAACAACCGAAACAAAAATTGACAATGGGTGTTAACGATATATAGATAAATAGTAAATACTCTATAATGTAATGTTAGTGCAGCAGCAGCAGCAGCAGCTTAAGTGCAGGCATTATCATAAGTTAACCGATATATTAAATACCAACAAAATACCAATGAGCGGATGACACAATCAAACATTTACAACTTTAAAATGCACAGTAAAAATTCATAGGGGATAAAATGTTAACTTCCACATGAACAATGTAATATTACAAATATTGTGAAGATATATTCAATGGCTATATTTAGGGCTTTCTCTATGTCTCTGAACGCGTTGCAAAGTACCCTGGTCATCGAATATCATAATCATTATTTGTATTCAACCATAATTTTTTTACCTTTCAGAATCAGGCGTTTCACTAGTAACGGGCGAACGAGTGACCTAAGATGGACATTGAATCTGTTAAAGGTACTATGTCCCTTTTGCAGCCAACCACAAATTCTGTAGAACTTTGCAGGAATTATGAATATGTCATGTATTTTATGTCCCATCTGTGAAATTTAAACGTTAGCAGTGTCCTAATATTCAAATTATGCAATGAAACCTGTTTACTTGCTAGACTTCACTGTCAGACACTATTGAGTGACTGACTGGCTTTTTTCTTCTTTGGTAATAACATACATAAAATGAGATGTAAAGGGTACATGAGCATTTGTCTATATCAATAACCCACTTCTTGTGATGGCCAAAATTAAACTGATTGCATCTTTGCGCAGCATAACACGCATGATTATTCAGTACAATGGTCTGAAAATCGAGACTATTACTTATTGGCTCTATAGCTCCTAAGTCGATTTGACAACTAATAGTCATTATTTTCCCACTTGAAGACATTTTCAAGCCCCACCTTTTTAAAGGAAGTTCTACATATATTACTATTATCTTTCAAATGCCGTTGGAATTTAACCTTTTCATTTTTGTTGGCCTGCAAATGGGACATAGTACCTTTAAACCATTTGAACTGAGAAGGGTATAGTTTAAATCTGTTGTACACACTTACACAATGAAAGAATGAACTCCATTCCTGACATCACACATAATATTCGTTTTACTGCTCGGAAATATTCGTTATCACTAGTGACCTCATCTGTGAAAATGTATAACTTTTTCATACTTTGTCTCATTTTTTGTATTTTTTTTCTCACACATTTAGCGATTATGCTTGTCTGGGTGTTACGCCTGGACAGAAGCCGATATTCTATGAAGGGTTAATTCTCCTTTTAATATTACAAAATATGGAATGTTGACTATAAGCCAGGCTGTGCCCTGAACCATATCAATCTTTCGTGGTGTAATGAAGATTGTTAAAGCATCAGAACTTATTGCTTTGACACCGAAAACTGTGCACTTATCACGAATGAAACCATTCGAAAAGGATCTATTAAAGACTGCATCAACGAGCCGATTAGCATGTCTGACTAGTCATCTTCGCCTCATGATTGTCTTTGTTTCGCTTGAGAATAGTGCACAAAACCCTGCAAGTTTGTACATCACTATGCCCGAATACCCACCAATTGATTCGTTTGCATGTGTAAACTATTGAATGCATCTATACGCCCATTGACTTAAAAAGTGGAAAACACTTGAGGTTTTGTTCGAATGAATGTCCTGACTTTTACTTGTAAATTGGGCGGGATTTACGCTTGATATACCAAACGGAATTCAGCCTGTCTACTTTGCGTGTAAATCGATGATAATACGAGTGTAGTCGAGAAGCAGGTGGAAAGTAATTCATTGGAGGAAAATAGGGGCTATACACAAAACGTCAATCGTCAACTTTGGGGCAACTTGAAGGAACATTTGAAACAAAAATGGATGGTTGCGAGAAAAAAAAATATCAAGGATTGGGCACAGAGATCATATAGATGATAGGGAAAGTCTTCAACAAAAACACGTGATAATAATCGTTTCATTATGAAGTTTGTAAGATAAATCATGTCATTTCAAATTGACAAATATCAATACAACGACATGGTAATTCATCATATCAGCAGTCATTTCCGAAAGTAGTTTTTAAAAAAATCGTTTCCTAGATTTACTTTTAAGTAAAAGCTAGAGATAGGTGTATCCTGAATAGCCCTTTGGAATAAGTATAATCATATCATGTTTGTATGTCCGGCATTTGCTACTTGCCCCCCCCCCCCCCCCCTCTATGAGGAGATCTGCCAATATTACTTGGACAGAAACAAGGGGCATTGTTCATAGCCCCAGGAGAGAAATAAACCAGAACCCCCGTGTATTTTTAGAACATGATGTACATGAATATAGACGTACGTACATTAACATGATGAAACGTAAATGCTTAAACATTCAGATGAAAGAACTTTCTTTCATGGAAGCTTGGGCTCCGACATACGTAAGTTTTCATGCTGTAGGGGCGTTCGGTGACCCTAGATTTAATACGGAAATTGTAGCACCTTTCTAGAATCAATATTACACTCTTGAGACCTTTACTGGCATGGGGGAATGGAGAAAGGACCATTCAGACGTGAGAAAATAGGAGGAAACTCTTCTACAAGTCACTCAATGGTAGCTATTTTATTTATCTGTTTGTTTACCTGGTGGTGGAAGGAGGGGGCGGCCCGGGGTGGGGGGGGGGGGGGGCGGCTAAGATTCTATTTCGCTCTTGTGATCATGTAACAGCAATTTTTAAATTAAATCGACTCGCATCAAATGACTTTTACTAAATCCACCTGCGCTTGACTTTATTATCATACATGTATCTGAAGATTCGTTCATATATTTCTAAACTAAAAAAGTCTCACGAAATTTAAGATAAAAACGAGTCAGAAAGCATTAATATATCCCGAACCTACAGATGAACCCTATCCAGTAAACCAATTTCACGGTTCAAAGTAAATTTGTTTAGGTTTTGTCTTAAAAACCGCAACATACACATAATTAATATCTCAAATCGTTAATATCGAATAAACACATAAACTCAGAAAAAGAAGAAGATATGATTAAGGTATGTGCACGATTTTTAAAATCTTTCAATTTTTTATCACACTGGATGTGCAATTCGTCATCAGTGTCACCATTGCCGTCGTCGTCGTCTTCGTCATAAAAATAGTACTCTGTAAATCTGACATTTGGACACAAGTATTATAGTTCATATAAGAGACCTAGGTCCTAGACCTCAACCCAGCCGTAGATCTTCTAGCGTCTGAACTCGACTCACACTCGCCACTGACCGGCATGGACGACACGAACAACGCCTTGGTATCCTATATGTGACGTCACGAAAGGGAGGATTAAGGGTGGGGCATTGTAACCGTTGAGTGCGCTCTAGGAAACCCATCTCTTGACAACAGGTGCAGGATCGTTCCACCTCGAGGTAATTATTGGGTGATATCCTTGTGTAGCCGCTACAGGTGCCTCTACAGCCTACCGAGTCCAAGGTGACTGGTCGGCAACCTGGTCTGGCGAGTTTGTACTGAAGACCAAGCTTACGGCAGTCAGCCAGGACCAGTGATGACGTAGTCAGTGAGAGGAGAATCAGGGCCAACATCAACAATGAAGATTGTGTCGTGGTTAGTGTTGCCATGGTGATCTAGTGATGGAATGTATCGTGTGACGTTGATATCACCTTGATCTTTGGGGTTGTGACGTCACAGAGATCTGAGAATGAATGTAAGAAGAAACAGAAAATGTATTATTGTTGTTATTATCATTATTACGAACAAACATCATCATCATCATCATCATCATCATTTATCATATCATTACTATTATTATTATTATCATCATCATCATTATTATTATCCTTATCATTATCATCACCATCACCATCACCATCACCATCACCATCGCCATCATCACCATCCCCATCACCCTCATTATCACCATTACCATCACCATCTCCATCATCATCATCATCCCAATCATCATCATCTTCATCACCACTACCACCATCACCATTCTTATTCGCTTGTGTACCCTATTGACCACTGCATTCTTTTATTTATAAAGTCTTCATACATGAAATAATTCGGTACCAACTTCTCTTCGTTCTGAACATTATCGAAATCCCTTAAAAAAAGACCGCATGATTTATGAAGGTAAAACCCTCGATTTCATAAAGGAAATGAATATGTGAAGACATAAATTTAGGGCTTAGGCATTAAAAATGAAATGTGGAAGAAAATGACAATTTTATGTAGGATACAAAAGCTGTTCAAAAAGAAATAAAATGCTTACTGCACAACGAACCGATGTGGTATTGATGACTGCTATCAAACTTAAAAACTCTCTCGTGCTTAATAGGACCCCCCCCCCCGAACTATCACAGATCAGTTTCGTATTTTCCGTTTTTATTATGACAAAAATGATGCCACAGGCTATGTATCAAAATGAAACCGAGTGCAATATTCTAAAATTGAAAAGAAGTGGTCAATAATTGGAGCGACTTTGTATTATGGTGTTTGCTGAGCTGGCGGGGACAATAAAGACATTATAACCTCTTTTACACAATTATTTGTATCACACACCTCTTGTTGCTATGGGCAGGATGGAACGCATACGTTCTGAATCATTTTATGATGAGTGATAAGTGATTCGTGCTTTAATAGATCAGCCGCATATGTCTTTATAAGAAAAGTTTATGGATACTTATAAAACGTTAAAACCAATATCAAACGAGATCATTTTGTACATTTTGAAAGTTATAAATAAAGCAAGAAAAGGTCGTTCTGCAAAAATTCGAACTTTGGATAATCATATAATGATATAAAAATTGTCGATGCTTCTTCAATCAGATCGAGCCGTTTCCTTCCTTACCGACATCCTACTACAAAGATTACATTCCAAGGAGTTCATTCTAAGAAGTTATTCAATGACTTTTCCATCCTTTGTATAGTAACACACTTGTGGACTTCCCATTATTAACGGATGTTTTGTCTTCCTCTAGCACTTACCAATCTTAATCTAAAATACTTTGCCACTATGTTCAATGAAAAGGTTAAGCGCTAGGAAAACTGATTTCCCCCTTTCTTTAAGATGAGCTTTGGCTTTCTTACCTTCATATTATTAGCTCTTTCTGTTGGAACAGAACTATTATGATTGAATACTCACTCCGCTCTTCATTTGATTAAATCTTAATAGCTGGTATTTTGTTCGATAACTCCCATAAAACAACTATCATCGTTACATTGTCACACAAGTTATTGTTTCGTTAAACAGAACAACTGTTAAAATATCTTTAAACACCAACGGAAGTATCATAGTGGTTTATTCCTTTTACTCTCAATCAAAGGGGTGATGGTTCGAATCCCAACGTCCTTTTGCAAGACATTAATAACACATGTGTGCTTGCCACTTCCATCCAGATGTCTACACCGTATATAACGGATAGCCTATAAATATAATGCGCTGTATATTTTGCCACTCACCTATGAATTGGGCAATAATAGTGGAACGCCAGGAGCCTTTTTAACCAATAAATTTATATTAAACAAAAAGATTTATAGACGATACCCGCAAGCGAGCATGAAGAAAGTCATCTTTAACATCTTGTGTACTTTGTGGCAGGTTAACCTTGTGCTAATCAAGTTGTCCAATAAAGTCTACAGCTACTTCTGATACTAATAAACGTTTTCATAAAATTAACACAAATTTGGGAATGTACTGAAATCCACTTAGATTTACCTGGTCATATCTCTATTAGAATACTGTTAATTGGATTTTTGATACAGACAATAACAATTACTTTATAATTAAATTTGATTATCCTGTAGAGGCACTGATAATACGTTGTATATGTTATATGCTCTTCACCATCATCAGGCAGCTATTAGTTTAGTTAGTGCATAGCTGATGGTAAGCTTCTGAATATCAGGTTTCATTTTGAAGTGCTTGTGCCAGCACGCAAGCTACCCACTTCAATTAAAGACTTATGGGATATTAAAATGTCTATCAATCCCTTTCACATCTGAGAGTGCTTTAATTAATAACAACCTCTGTGTGTTAGTCTTAGTCTCGCCCACACATCTGACCTGATTCATATTCCTCGTCCCTATGTATGTATACATAAACCAGTAAGGTATCTGCTAATGATGGTGGATTTAAAGATTAATTAGTGATTGATTAACTCATTAAAGGAGGCCTAACCCAAGTAGGCGGAAATTTCCCTTGACACAGAGCCAACCCCAGCCTCTCACTTAAACATTCTATATTTCCCTTTACTCTAATATATATGCATGTAATACTAATCATGACAATGTTTTTAGGCGAACCTTAAAGGCCCACTGCACTACTTGTAGCTACTTGCGCCCTCTATATAAGAAACAATGCCTAATCGGTGACCATTGGTCCCCCATAATCCTCTTTTTCTTATGTTAACTGAGAGCAGAGTTGATGAGATAACCACCTGTCCAGTGACCTTGCAGGGCAGTCTAATCCCTCCTGTAAACTACGGCAGATAAGCTTTAAGTTTTCCAACCGCCCTTAAAAAACCCCAGGCAATTCAGGACGTAACTAATGGTACTAGATTGGAATTATTAAAGCAAACTACAATATCGCATTAATTAGAGAAAAATTGCGTCAAGACACTTCTGACAGGCGTTTATATTTTAGAGCTTTTAGAGCTTTAGAGCTTTATATTTCAATTATATATTCATTTGTATTTTTTTAAAGGTGGCCAGTATATCTGTAATTATTTTCCAGTAGCCTAACAATTTCATATAAAACTGATCATGGATAATAATTGTTAACATGAAGGTGAAGGTCGGAATTTCAATTCATCTTGCGATTACATTAAAAAGCCTTTCCCTAATCACCACTACCACTACCACCACTGCCTGGGTTACATTGGTTACCATACCCCCCTTAAGGAGACCCCTTAAATCAATAGCATCTCTGCGTCTCTTAAAGACCACCTGCTAGAGGAATGGTTAATCAAGTGTAAACTTTAAGAATAAGATGTCCCTCTCGAGACTCTACTCCTAGATAGATACGATGAGTTGGTATAGGTCAGGGACGCGACTACATCCCAACCCAGCCGAGCACGGTACGTGTCCCGGCTGAGCATGGCTCCTTTCACGGATTCGGTATCGTCACCAAATCCTTCCCTTTTGGATGCTCCCGATGCATAACACGTCTCTATCACTAACAAATAGGGATCGATGAGCCCGCGAACTCTGCTTCAATTTTGTTTCCTTTTATTTCACGGCTCCCTTTATCACCGCTGATAAGCCCATTCTGTGATTATTAAGACGTTAATCGTGTATTAAAGTGTCATGTTTTCTGTTTGTAATGACCTGTATGGCATATACTTCCATGAAAGTGTTGTGCTGTCACTGATGCTAACTCTATCATGTCTATGTAATGAAAGTGATGTATTATTTATGGACAATAAAGACATTGAAATGCAAAATCAATTACGAGTAGAAGAAAAAATCTATCGGGCGAAATTGGTGCTCTTGACGGAATAATGAAGCAACATGACCAACTCTGCCTGGTAAATTTGAGGAGAGTAAAATCCGTCACGGAGCCGTGTTAGCCAATATAACGACCAGGACTGTTCCACCTTCATGATTCAAATGTTCTCCATTTTGTAAAGACCCAATTTGAACATACGCCATCTTTCGATCTTGGCCGGGATACTCATGCTTGTTTTTTAAATTTCGTTTTAATATGCTATGGTTGAATGCGGGGTGTTTCCATTGGAAGAATATGGCTATGTAAAAATGATCGATCAGTTGTTGTATTCAAAATCAGAGAGAGAGAGAGAGAGATAGAGCGGGGGGGGGGGCACCGTTATACAAGCGACAAAGCGAGAGAGAGAGAGAGAGACGAAAAGAGGGGAGATGTCGGTATGTCATTTCAGAATTTAATTTCATTGAGAATTGAGGTACAATGCAAAAAAAGGAAAAATCTCGTTAGATTTATCGGCACTTATCAAATGAAGAAGATGAAGAAGGAGAAGAAGGAAAAGAAAAAGAAGAAGAAGAAGAAGAAGAAGAAGAAGAAGAAGAAGAAGAAGAAGAAGAAGAAGAAGAAGAAGAAGAAGAAGAAGAAATATTGATTATTCATAAAACTGATTCATAAAACGGACTAATTTGTTTCTCGATCGAATTCGATTTAAAGGGGCCTCTGAAGAGGCCTTTTTATAATAGTACAAACCTCCTGTTGATATTATTTAATAACTGACTCATTCTCTCGTCGATTCGTTAGTCAAATTTTGTTCGATGTTCTCAGTTTAAAGTACATGTGTAACCCATACATTACTAATTAGTTCTCTTTTCACAATCAGTGGAAGAAAGAAATTATGTTCGAGTTACATCACCGATCAGACGAACCTCTTCTGTGATATACTATCAATGTCTACTGGGCCCAGGGATGTGAGATTATCTATCCTCCCTGCTGCGCACAAGCATGGGCCGTTTCAGCATTGAATCACTGAAATCAAACCGATTTGGCTCCTGATTGCGTCTTACAAACGAGAATATGTTTGTCAACATGTAACACTTTCTTCTTTCCATTGATTTAACCCCTTTTTTACGTTGAGTGAGAGAAAATGAAAGAAAGAAAGAAAGAAGAAGAAGAAAA